CTGTTGTTGGATTTAAGGGTAAAATTAGTTTTTTAACTTACAACCCTAACAAGCCTACGAAATGGGGGATAAGAATTTATGTAATGGCGGATGCTAACACCGGGTATGTTTATTCAATTTTGCCGTACTATGGAAGCTTGACATCGGAAGATTTAGTGAGACCTGATTTACCTGTAAGTACAAGGATAGTGTTACATCTTTGTCAAAAATTATTAGACAATAACCCAAGATGTAAAGGATATCATTTTTACACCGATAGATACTATACTAGCTTGCCACTTGCAGAAGAGTTGTTAAAACTAAATGTTCATTTGACAGGCACTATTCAAATAAACCGCAAATTTATACCTGATTCTATCAAAAAACCAACATTTGCCGAAGACAACACATTTGCATGCAGATCAGGTAATTTGATGTTATTGGCATGGAAAGATAAAAGGGTCGTCACCATACTTACTTCGTGGGATATTTCAGGAACACAGCCTATCAACAGAAGAGTACGTGGAGGTAACTTACAAGTTGTAAATAAGCCAAATGTAGTGGTCAATTACAATAAATTTATGGGAGGTGTCGACCGCGCAGACTCTTATTCAGCGTCATACTGTTTCCTGAGGAAGTCTTTGAAGTGGTGGCGAAAGTTATTTTTCTGGGGACTCGAAATGTCCAGTGTCAATGCATATTTATTATATAAAATTTCACAACGGGGCCAAAACAAAAAACCAATGACACATCTAAAGTTTGTTCGGGAATTGGTTGACGAGATGACAAAAAACTTTCGGCAGGGGTCCAAAACTTCTGGCAGACCATCATCTGTAGATACAGAAGAACGGCTAAATGGTAAATTACATATTTTACGCCAAAATGATGGGAAGAAAAAAGACTGTGCGGTATGTTCTAACCGTAAAGTACAAGGCGGCAGGCGGGAAACTAGGTATATTTGTGACACTTGCACACGTAAGCCTGGACTACATATTGGTGACTGCTTCGAACGGTACCATACACTACAACATTATAAAACGTAATTTTTTGTAAATTGTGTATAAATTTATTTAATGATAATGGTAGTGATTATGATAACGTTAGGTTTTATTTGTGTTTCTCTATCCTCAAGATTTATTATTTTTGTAATCCATTATTTTTTATTTAGTGTTTTTCAAGTTTTTTTTATTTAGTTATTTTTCATGTTATAATTGTAATAAATTATTGTGTTTAATTTGAATAAACATCTGTGTAAAAAAATATTTTTTAAAAAACATCAAAGAGGTTTTAACATTAAGCGATTTTTTTTTAATTTTCTCAAATTTTTATTTGGTTTTTACACTAAGTGTATTTACCAAGCAATATTAGCGCATTTAAAAAAAAATCCCATATAAAAAAAATTCCGAGTAGACAGATAAGTAGATAAAATAATAGTCCGAGTACAGTGTACTCACAAAAGGACATATATACGAGTGCAAAGGGTTAAAGGCCAAAGGCGACAACTAAAATATAATAACGGATCTAGGAAATGTAATTTTAGCATAGGACAATATGTATTTGTTAAGGATTATAGAATTCCAATGAAAACTAAGTGGGTTAAGGGTAAAATAATTAAAAGAATTGGAAAATGTGTTTATTTATGTAATGTGTCTGAGGTTGGTAAAGTATGGAAACGCCACGCAAATCAAATACAAGAATGTAGAAGTGTTGAGAGTTCACTGGCGCCTTTACCTATCACAAACACAAAAGAAAACACTGAAATAATTGAAATTTTTGATTCTCCTGAACAAGTTGCAAGTGTTAATAATAGACCAAAAAGACAAATAAAAGCACCTGAACGACTTGCATATGAATAGATTTTTTTTTTAGACGGAGAGAGTATTTGTATATGTATATACTAGATTAGTTTAATTTTTTTTAGGGGGAGAGATGTAGAATACGGTTTATTTATCTCTTACTTCTTTTGCAAAAAGGGTTGAATTTCGCGCATTGGTGTTGTTATTTATGGGTAGTAACTCCTCCCCAGAATGAGTGTTCTCATTACGTATATTTCCTTCCCTATATGTTTACCCCCGGTTCTTACTCAGATAATTATGTAAGTAACAGCAAGCGAGAACAATGGTAGCACTTTTTTCGGGGGATAAATTTATCGTAGTTAATAAAACTCGAAATCTTGAGGCTAAAATTCCGAAAACATTCTCAACAATCCGTCGAGCTCTGGAAAACCTGTAATTACAAATTTCCTCCAATATTAAAACCCTTCGGCTATATGGCTTCATTATATTTTCTTTCAAAGGAAAAGCGTCATCTGCTATAAATACGTATGGCACCTTTTCTGGAAAATTTGGTAGTTCTATTGGATCTGGGAGTTTTGATTTGTTTTCTTGAAGTCTTTCATCAAATTTTCTTGCGGTAAAGACTCCACCATCTGAAATTCTACCATTTGATCCAATATCCGCCATTATAATTTCGTAGTTTGCATCTGCTATCAACATCAGCACTTTGCTGTGAGTCTTTTTGTAGTTAAAATAGTGGCTACCTGAATTTGCTGGTTTTATAATCGCTACATGTTTTCCATCTATTGCACCTAAGCAATTTGGGAAATTCCATCGGCTATTAAAATTTGATGCGATTTCTTTCCAGGCCTCTTTATTTCTTGGCATCTAGAAATTGCAAAGTATATTTAAATTTACTTTTAAAATTGTATCTTTTAGTATATGAACGTAATTTTAAAATGGTATTTTTAGGCATCAGAAGATTCATTAGAAGTCGAATCAACACAACGTTGTCTAATGAAAGAAATGAATTTCTAAAAAAGGCAGTTAAACATTTAGACACAGTAAGTGATGAGGCAGAAATGCTCGGCAAAGTTTGGGCATCGCAATACAGAAAACTTTCCGTTGAGCGGCAACTGTATGCCAAGACGCATATTGATGACATTGTGTATCATGGTCGCCTTTCAAAACTAGGTCCTTCGCCTACCCCATCAATGACACCATTGCCTTTCGTGAATCCATCATCGTACGACTCAAGTTCAACTACTATGTCGTATATGTATGAACCAATGCAGACACCATGTTATACAGATGTATCGTCTTTATTAAGCGATACTCAATATCATTAAGATGTTATAATAAATAAACGATAATAATTGTTTACCTACCTTTATACATTCCTTCAATGTACTAATAATCGCTTCGCATGTTTCAATTACAATTTTTCCTATTGTTTGCGGAGCTATCGCCGTCAAAAATTTTAAATCTTCATAAGTTGCACCACTGGCCAAAAAAACAGACAATAATATTTTTTATGACAAGAAAAATGGCAAGTGTTGTACCACTTTGGAAACTTGACTAAACAGAACATCTTTTAAAATTACTTGCCAAGGGTGTTGTATTACTCCTTTTTCAGAAATCGTGTGTCAAACTTGATAGACATAAATTCTTTCAACCTTAACTCAATCAAATTAATATATTTTTTTGCAAAATTAACGATTTTTGTTGTTTGATTTGTGACTTCTACAGTAGCATGGTTCACAAGGAATACATTATTAAAAAAATTACTATTAAATTGCGAACATTTCTGACCGTAGTTCCTAAAGATATGATGTACAGGACCGATTTTTAACGTTTTCAAAAATATGTCTATTACCACTTAACTGGAAGTTTTTTCTCATTTTTACCAGAACAGGTATTTCGGGTACACCTGTATATTGTGATGGACACATTTTAAGTTACACTTTGGCCATCGGCGCGTGATTACAATAACGCTGAGCAATAGAATTGGCTCTAATGAGATACATAAGTAGTTAATAAGTCTAAGCGAAAAGCATTCGTAGCCACGAACACAATAGACATGTAATAACTAAAATAAATTAGTATTCTTAAACTAAAAAGTGTTTAAATATTGTTGGAAATAAATATATACACCCTAACCACCTGGAAACCCAAATGGGGTCAATACAATATGCAAAACATATTTTTTTTATTAAAGATTTTGCCGTATTGGTTGAAAAATTGGCTTAGTGTTGTTATTGAATAATAAAAGAATTTTTTATTTATTAGGAACAAACATTTTTGTAGTGTTTCCTCTCACACGGCTTAACATGTGATGATCAATATTTTGGCAGACGTCAATAATTTCGTCAATAACACCATAAAAAGAAATCTAAAGGTGTCAGATCTGGTGATCTTGTTGGCCATTCAATCGGCCCACGTCGACCGATCCACCGTCCATTAAAATTTGTATCAAGATAATTTCGTACCATTGCCACATAATGTGGAGGAGCCATTTCAAAATCGTCAGGATTCTGGTGTACAATTTGCAAAAGACTTGGATTAATATCTTCTTCTAATAATCTTAAATACAATTCCGGTCTAATTTTCGGTTAGGAATATTGGTCTCACGATGTGATTTCCCAATATGCCTGTCCAAACATTTATTTTCTTGGGAAATTGAGTGTTAACTTCACGATATTCATGTGGACTAAAATCACTCTAGTAACGTACATTTTGCCGATGCAATTTTCCATCCAAAAAGAAAGTACATTCATCACTGAAACAAATCTAAAAATATTTCCCCGCCGTTGTTGGACCCACATCACACGTTGATGCGATAGCAGCAGACGACATCATGCACGCATTAACTACTTCTGTTAACATCTGCACTTGTGTGTCTTCAGAAATCGAACGACGACCAGTTCTTTTGCGGTCTTCGACGCTTCCAGTTTCCAAAAACTTATTCACAAGCTCTCTTAAATATTTTCGACTAATTGGATGTTCAGGAAATCGTTCATTAAATTGTCGCTCTGTTTCATGTAGATTTCTGTCAGCACGAGCGAATATTAAAATTGCTTCGATATTGTGCTCTAAACTCCTTCTAGCCATTTTGATCTCGCCTTTCTTTGGTTATACTTGGTCGGGTAGAATTCAAAGATAGAAATGAAGGAAAATATTTGCATGCTGCCTTAAATACAAAATTTCAAAGTACCTACAAACTTTAAAATTGTTGTTATGACAATTTTTTCTTAGAA